TTTCTATCAACAAATCTACCCAGTTACTCCACAGCTATAGGCTATTACCCACATCTCCCAGCAGGAAAATAAAGAAACCTGCCTGATAGGAGTTCGGCGAAGGAATTCGGTGTCGTAAATGTAACTACGTGCTTCCGCAGGCGATCCCAGGCTGCGACGACTTCGCGCCAAGGACAACGGCTAACCCGTAAAATATCCCAGAAAATTCAGTATTTTCCAGACGCTGAAACCTTGGGGTGATAATATAGGGTAGCAGTGCTGGGGGGTTCCATCGCAGCCTGCATAGAGTAGCGATGAACTCCCAGTGTTTACGACCGTCTGGAAGGGACCACCAAAGTTAATCCGCACGCCACGCCACCAATCACGAGACAAAACTTGGGACTATAGCTTCTCCTTGTGTATAATCGATGGCTCCTATGACGTGTCTGATGGGTATGCCGTCGTCTTCGAAAAACAAATAGGTGTCCGCGAAAGAATTCTCGAGAATATGTGGCTGGTTACCTATTGACGCTTTTATATCGGGTTACAAAATGTATCAGTGGATAGGACTTTCGAATTATTAAGCCAGCTGATCTGTTTCTGTGGTGTTTCTCTGGGTGGGATCGTCTGTCGTAGCCTTTCCTCACTGGGCGCTCGATTACTATTCGTGGACCCAAGCTTCTGGTTTCCTGGATCACCATACTTTATTGCCGCCTGCGCTGACTACTTACATGTAGATAAACTATCACAGACCCGAGTACCCACGATCTTATCTACTAGAATTGTAGATGGTGACTAAATTCCACCCTTGGCGACTATCGGCAATAACGACATCACCTAAAACTGACAGAGGCCTCCATTTGCGATGACTCTTCCCTAGCATAGGGCCATAGATTGCTGCCATCTCGTCAGAGTGCTACGTTATGCCAGTCGAAGCCATGTAGGGTGTGGCATAGCCGCGCAAATATGTAGTAAATAGTTGCCTGGGCACGCAGCAGAGCCTTAACCACCGGAATTTCACGCCTTTGTGTCCTGAATATTCAACAACTCTCCTATGCCCCCCAATACCTCCCAGCACGTGGCCTATAAGAAGGTAGATACGAGAGCCCTGTCTCAGAGTCTGGGGCGAGCTCAATGTAACATTGAACCTCCTCGTTTAGCTATGACTAGGTGACGTGATGGTGTACTGGCTGTACATACGATGTGCTACATCATCCGCGGATGGTGGTGCTAAGTCGCGTGGGTTATAAAGGGACGCGGCGATAGTTTCTAACGAACTTCGTAGAGAGTCATAGATAGTCATCAACTGCATTCCAACTCGATGAATAAGCCATTCTTTAGCAGCTTCCACGAGGGATTTTCGATCTTATAACAAGGTATGTGCAGATATCCAATAACGGGGAGACATACTATGGGTATTGATGAAATCGCCTACCAGGAATCATGTGCGACTGGGAGCGAACACTCTGTTCGACATGCAACCGTGTAGTTCAAGACAAATGCATTGCCCCCTGCCCGGACGAGTACCACGCAGTATACACCGATGGTGCAAACGTGCAGATTATTTACAAAACATGCGGGCCATGCAGTCGTCCTACGCCTCCGCCATGATGTTGTTATTATGATATTTCGAGCATGAGGTCGAGGGGTGTCGTTTGGGAGTCTCTGGGTAGTAATGATGTCTGATACGCTTGTGATTCCAACCGTCTTCTAAGCAACTAAAGGTCATTGTTGGCAGACATGGTATCTTGTTGCGGTTGGTGATATTTTTTCGTAACTGGTAATAGTTTGGCATGATTCTCGGCGGTCGGTCGTATCTGGTGGTGGATTACTTTCGAGGAGTGTATTTGTCTTTCTTGCGTTTGAGCTGCCTTCCGTTTCGTCTTCCGGTTGGTCTGGTGCCTGCGCTGTTGTTATCTCTGCCTTGTTGGTATATTGTGATATCTAGGGAATTACTGCGACTCCAAATGGCGTTATCAAGCTTGCTACGAGAGATATTAGAGGACAAATGTATGTTCGCGGGCCCTAGCGCTCCTGCATGAAGAAGGATATTCGACGAGCTTTTTCACAACGAGAGAGGTCAGCTTCTCGAGAATCTCGGCGCCATGCCGGTTATGTCTATTCTGGGACCACCCTACCTTCCACCAATCTTTGATGTTGTTCGAGACAGCGACTAAGTCTGATCATCACATCCCTTCGGTCTATCGCCTATGATTCGAGGATAAGGAGTTAGGTAGAGGGGGATGTGTCTGCCCCTTTATTTCCGAGCTCACCGAGTACCTATCCAGGTACTAGAGAAACATAATATACCCCCTTACGGATTAACTTGGCAGGCGAACTACACTCCCGGGCCACTTTGCGGGGTTTGTAGCCTTGTGTTAACTAGGTGTAAATATTTACCGCTTAAGCTGCGAAACGTGCCTACTACCGTAGGGTACATGTAAGCCCGTTGTCGATCATAAGCATTGGTAGCACAAGCTTGTCAGCTCGAGTACTGAGACATTAGCGACCTCGAACCTAGTCTAGTTCAAGTATATTTGGCTTATTTATGAGGAAGACGGCAAAGTCTGGTAGGTAGGTAGATACCCAGTAGGTAATCTGCTACCCAACCTAATAAGAGTATTTTGTACGTGTCCATCTTGACCAAAATTGACCCAAGTCAACCATCATTGCAGCCTTAGCGTTATATTTAACGTAATAATAGCGATTACGACTACTCACTACAACCCAAGGCCACTAATAGACCATTCTAGACGTAATGTCAGACGTAAGTAAGAGGCGAGAGCTCACACTATAGGCTAGGACATAACTGAGAACCGATAACTTGACAACACGACAAGGATCATCAATGATAATCCCCCTTTTTGACAACTTTGTCCTTAGCTCCAGGCTAAGAAGTTACACGACAGTGAGCTGATTCCTCTCAATCAAGATATTGAGGTAGTATTATGAATTATTGCGAGACCCTTACCAACAAACGTTAGCAACACGAAATCAACATTGTACCTTTGACTCATTTTCTTATTCATAAAATTTCCGAGGCCAAATATTCATCGCGGTCTTCAAACCCTCTTCTACCGGTAAGCCCGCATGGACAGTTCGCTGATCCCCGGTACCGTTGGCGAATAGGTTCACCCAAAACACCGCGTTTCCCGCAACAGGCCTAAAGGCCAACCCCCCTTCCTCAGGGCGTCTCCAGAACTTTCGTCCCTCTCCATCAATCTTTGACGGAGCTGTCGTGTTTACCAAAGGGAACCACGTTTCACCACCCGTGCACTGGTCTTGAAGAATGGCAAAGAAGCTCGCAATACGGTTCCAGCTCTTTCCGCGCCCCAGCATCCCCTTACGCACTGGTTGTGGGCGCTCGTACCAGTCGCGGTGCCTATTAAAGCGCTGCCCCGCCGTATAACGCACGAGCTGCGGCGGGCCGATGTCGTCTCGAGATGGGTCCAACATCGTGCCGAGGAAGCCCTCGGCCCGCGCCAGCACGCACTGCACGGCCGGATTGTCTCGCGGTAGTGCCGCGGAGGATGATGTTCGATCCGACGTGCCCTGATTACGACCACTCTTATAGACCCTGGACGGGGCGAACTCGGGCTCGCCGGCTTCAAGTAGAGCGTCGATCTCGGCCGGGGCAAGAAACTTATCGATATAGATGAGAAGAGGATCGAGCGAGACGATCTCGGTTGTATAGGTATGCGGAAGACAATTAAAGAATACCGGCGTAGGTTCGACATCTCGGCCGATGATCCCCGAGATTGATGGAGACAGCGAGACAAGATACGGAGATAGCGTTGCCACGTACGGAGATGCGTATCGGTAAAAGACCGGCGCTAGCACCGCGGCCAGAGTAATAGCAAGGGCCGTGAGACCCAACGGTCGGGTTATTGGAGCCATGACGGACCACAACTTTGATGGCTTATGTGTGAAGCGGTCGCCGCTACGATGATGCAAGTTGCATCGATACGGCCGTCGACCGCAGTCTAGTTAAAGCGGTCAAACATTACAATTAAACGCAAGCTAGGTAGTTCTAATAATGTTCCGAAGCCTCCTAAGTAGGTACTAATGGTTTACGACAACATATGATTCCCCTCGACATCCTCTTCGGAGTACCTTGCTCCGAACGAATCCTCTCACAAAAGCTATTGATGCTAGCGATTGCCGGTGGCATGAGTGGTGACACTGCATTGCAGGCTGAAAAGCCTGGACTTCCTGGAATGGAAGGGTGCAACACATTAGGGGGAAGACTAAGTACAAAATTGGCTACTCGATGTGACATATCACTCCAAGCCCATACCCGAATGAAACATGTATGACAAAGTCTCTGCCTATGAGAAATGACTACCAGCATTAATCGTTGAAGGTGTCTGGAATGACGATTGTCGTAAAGATATAATTTACACCGCCCACCTAATGAAGACACCGGTATAAGTTCGCATTATCTACTGGCTACATAGTAGTTTGTCTGGTAATTGATGGGGTTTTAACGTCCCTACCATACCCTCGCTGCTCACCATATACATGAATTCCCACCGCTAACTCAATCACGGTCGACCTATATTCGGCGACAAATTTAATAGTTGCCGTTAACCGAATTAATCTTCTCGTCCTCATAACATGGTACCACCGACCCGGGATTATAAGATATCTGTCGGGACTGTAGTCACGTGGGATGGTCCGTGCGCTGGGCACGGGCCAGGCATCAGCCACCAGGCTGACACAGGCTATATCTAGCCATAGCATAGATTAGATAGTCTCTCTTTCTCCTCCTCTCTTCATCATAAAATACACATATGAATCCTCACCCTAGCTGTACAGCTTTATCCCTGCTGATCTAGCAGACCTTGTCAATCCAACAATATCCAATTCCGAGCAGCCGGTGGGAGGCATAACTTAATGCAGCTAGCCTCCAGAAATCCGACTATCCTACATGTACCTTACCGTAACCTGTGGCCTGCCATATCTCGCTCGCTCTTATGCCCAGAAATACCCAAAAATGAAACCACCAAAAATTAATGATACTCTCGATCGGGGAATTGAACCCCGGCCACCTGCGAATTTCAGTCTTTGAGACTATAGTCAAGGAGATGACAAGCAGGTATCCTAACCACTAGACGAATCGAGATGGTAATTCCACCTGGTACCTAAGGAGGTACTGAGTTCCTTGTGGGTCGATGAAAATTTCTATCGTGTAATCTTGTACATAAAGACCCAAACGGAAATAGGGGGTGGGCCATTGACTACCGCTTTACTACACTAGCTCTATGGACAAAGATTATCACGAGTATCTTATTTAGTTTATTTAAGCTAAGAGGAGTAGAAGAATACTGTAGCATAATAGCCTGCCACTTCTTGTGTATAGGTAGTACCATGCAATAGTCACTTTTTAGGACGCCTGAGCATGGGGCTTATATCATGAAGACGTCTCTCCCTCTCAAAATATTCCACGATCGATGCATATTGGTTAACATTCGCCAATGATATTTCTTGGCGGTCGTTGCGTGCCGTGGTCTTGCCGTGTTCGTGCCGTGTTTGCGGCTTTTGCGGTGGAGCCAGAATAATGGAGCTTCCGTTTGCTTGGTATCTTAGTTTCCGTCATCGCAATCACAACATTATTGAATATTGATACTAGCTGATTTAGGATCGAATCTGGTAGATACCTGCTGTAGATAGATAGCAAGGCGTCAATCGCTTGGCTTATGTGCTTATATGTAGGTAAAATTTAAGAAAAAGGGGGTAGAGTTTGCCAGGATACCTCCTAGTTCAGGCCTCACATAATGCGCTACATCATAGTAATAAGTTTACTTATGTAAGCTTGGAAGATTCCCGTAACGCGGCTCCATATCATATACTTATCTGTTACCTAAGCACATGGGCCACATGTATACCGCGGACTTGGGATCATACTCCGTTACCAGCTTTCTACATGATGGCGGATCGTAATGTAGACCCTCAACTACTTCTGCTACGTCGGCAATATTTCCAATTGTTCGAGCCAGACTTTCTCGCTTGGCCGCCTGCAAAATACCTCAAAAATGTTGACGTGCAAACATGGGTGTATAAACATCTGTTTGATCCAACCAGAACTTCAAGACTACCACCCGAGAAGTATCAGACGCAAGTCCTGAAGCAGTTTATTGCCAAAACCGAGAAAGCGATTGAGATTCGCGATGAAAATGTCAGTTCCTTGTGACAACATTCCAACCTTTACAAATTTTAGGGAGCACCCGTTAAAATGAAATAGGAGATCTCTAGTGATCTTGTGGCACGCCTCACGTATCTCACATCGAAAGGGATGCCAACAGAATTTCGTACAATGCAGGAAAAAGCATATGTAACATTCACGTGCATATCAGAGGACGGCAGTTCCAATCATAGTAATGGTGATGCACCGGAGCCTACGATAACGCTGCTCGAACATCGGCACTTCGTCTTAGGTTCTCAAATCACAGGTTTTAGAACCTGGGAGGCGGCTCTTCACCTAGGCTCATATCTGCTGACCCATTCTGGTTCACGCGAGATTTCTGGCAAGAACGTACTAGAACTTGGTATCGGGACGGGATTTCTCACTATTCTCTCAGCTAAACATCTACGTGCGAACCATGTCACAAGCACAGATGGCGACAAAGGAGTCATCGAGACTTTGCGTGAAAATCTCTCATTAAATGGCCTCGACTCCCGGAAAGTCAAACCGGAGCCTTTGACGTGGGGTCAAGATCTTAGAGGGACGTGGGTTGAAGACGATTGTGAAGCTCATCCATATGATGTTGTAGTCGGAGCTGATATTGTAAGTTTTCATCGCTCAGTCATTTCAATAAGAGCCAGAGACTAATATTCCAGACAGACCTACGAAAAGACGGCTATATTAGCCCTAGTATCAACGCTCCAGTCTCTCTTTGATATGAGACCGCAACTTAAAGTTATTATATCCAGTGTTGTTCGAAATGCCGAGACATTTCAAGCATTTCGAGATGGGTGTGGTACGTATTTGTATGTCTAGAATTGATAATGTTGAGAAACCACTCTGACGCTTGCAGCTCGGAATGGCTTCACGGTCAAAGATATAGAATTTGAACCAAAGCCTATACGTCAACAGAGGGGCCTCTTCTACGCAGCCGCAGTACCTATAAAGATCTTATCTATTACCCGCCCGAGATAGACAAGGAGGACCCCAAGAGGATTCTATAATCGATGTACAAATGGGCGGCGGTATCAAGTTCGGAACCTGGCTAACGGAGATGAAGCCGAGATTTGCAATGATATAGTCTAGCCGGCCTCTGCATCCGGATAATAGTTGGTTACAAGATGAGCTGGCACTCCACACATCGTGGGTTACCACTCTGGATGAACCGTGCCAGAGATCAAGAGACCACGGGCGACTCCGTCTGCCGCCGGGGCGTAATGGGATGTTGTTAAAGGAAAAGGGACCTAAGCAGCCTGCCTGCTTTGGCATATGACATTCACTTAGAGAGATGCGTGGACTCAAGAGAGTCTCACTTACAGAATAATTTCGATTACATATCTCACACGACATACTGTATGTAGTCTAGAGTACGAAGTCCTCACTGACATCTTCGATGCTTACGCTAAAAGACTATATATTAACGCCACGATAGTGGTCCAGAACCCGATACTCAACGAATCGATGGCACCCTGAGCGGTACGAGTCGCAGCACTAGTCCCGGGCGACGGAGATGGAGACGGGGATGGCTTACTCGGCGAAGTACCATCCTGGTCACTATCACCGCCGCCGAATATCTCCGGGAACAGCAGTGTCGAGTTCTTATCCTTAACGATACCGTTAACAATGATAGCTGTGCCGTTCAAAATAGTCTCGATCTGCTCCTCGGTGCACGTAGACGTGTCATACAGATAACACCAATGCAGCAAATCCGGGGGGTCTTCATTCTTGATGGCCCATGTATCAGCGGGGCCCTCGGTAGTGAACTCGGGATTCCCAATCAGGTCAACAGTCCCGGTGGCAATATCCTTGTTGAACAGTGCACGGTGGAACATCTTATACGCCGTCTCGGGTTGGTACGCGGGGATCTCGTGGCCGGCCTCGTACACGCGTGAGAAGGAGAAGTTGCCGTATTGCCGCACCTGGCCCCCGACGTACGTATCGTTGATGATGATATCTGTGTACCCCGCGGCGTGGAATTTCTCGGTGCCCGTGTAGTTGACGGCCAAGCTGACGGCTTCGCCGCCGATCCAGTTGCATGCGTAGTCCCGGTCGCCGTACATCATGTGCACTTTGATTCCGTTCTCTAGCAGGAAGGCGAGGTCTTCGACCCACCCTGGGCGATTGTAGTCGCCGATAGCTCTAAAGGCGTAAGAGACGGCGCTAGAGGACTGGGTGAAGTTGATAGGGACACCGAGCGCACTCTGAACGTGAGGTTGATTGAGGTACTGGTTGTAGAATGGAGCGGGGAAGGGGTTGGGGTCGACGGAGGCGTAATCGTAGTAGTTACGGCCCGAGTAGTCGAGGTAAGGACCCCGGACTCTGTTGGAGCAGAAGGTCTCGGCATCTGAACACACCTTATTGACGGTGGCGTTGATCCCGATGTTATCGGGGTCGTACTCGAGAGCTAAAGCACGGCAATCGTTGATCTGATCGCGGCACCCGCCAGGTCTCTCGAGAGCATCTACCATTTCTAGATAGATGGTCTCATTGACGGTCTCGATGCCATACGTATTGTTATAGGCAATATGCGGATAGGCAGGCCATTGGATTTGGCGATCAATGCAAGAGTTGATAAGGATGAGCGTGTCGAGATTGAGAATGTAGTTTTCGCCATCCGTGTCGTTCCACGTGCCATTCTCGATCTTCTGGTTCTGCTCTTCGAAGAAGGCGGCGAACTCGGGGCCGTATCGACCACCGTAAGACTCGGTAGCAATGCTGATCCGGGAGTCGTTGGGATGGTATCCCGGAAACTCCTGGAACCAGGTCTGAGCAAAGTGCCACAAAGCAATAGCGGCATTACGAGAGCCCTTGGCAGTGTTATTCCTGTCCTGGCTCGGATATGTGCCGAGTAGCAAAGTAGTATTTTGCTCGGGGATAGGATCCGACTCATTCAGCTTGGTGACACGCCCAGACACGAGATCAAGAGTGACATTTTGTAATGTATCGTATGAGAAACCCACCTGAGTCGGCTGGTCCAGGAATAGCATGTTGACTTAAAGCAGATCAGCGAATTTTCTTTCGATACCCGGAGGAGGCTATTTCTTCCAACTTACCGTCCGTGTTCCATGCCCAGGGGCTCAGGACGGTGGAGTTGCTGTCGGAATTAACGTAGCAAGGTCCATTCTCGGTGAAGAGTCCATACAAGGAGCTACTCCCAGGGCCACCATTCAGCCATATTGACAATGGCGCATTCTCTGGGTCATTCCGCGCCTCGAAGAACCAGAAAAATGTGTTGATGGGATATTCTTGTTCCTCCCCTAGGTCTGCTAGGGAACCTGGGGGAAGGTAAACGTAACCGGCGTAGGATTTGACACCCGGTGTCGTCTCACAGATACCGGGCTTCGAGAGAAGGTCAGGCCGAAGCGCCCAGCATTGCTGTTGGACTTGTACTCACCTCTTTGTAACTGATCTTGACGCCGTCGCCGAATTTGGATTCGAGAATGGTGACGCCTTCAGGTGTAAGTGGGAATTGAGCTCGAGTCCAGGGGACCAGCACAGAGAGGCCGAAAACCGCCTGAAGGCCAATTGACAACATGGCGAAGCAGATCCGAGAAGTGCGCCCCCTTGCGTGGGAGGTCTCGGGAAGAGTGCTAGGGTAACGCCTCGTAAAGCTATCATTGCAGGGCGGCCGAGCGCCATGCTTTTATCTATTAAATACTTCGAAATTCACCTGCATAGGACTTGGCGTGTTGACCTATTCCCCGCATTTTCGTCATTCCTAGATGATAGCATCGCATCGCTTATAACCCTGCTGGTGGGATGCTACAAGATAGGGCTACATGGTGATAGACCAGGTCCGCGTCGATCCCCGAAACGCCTTAGGACTGACTGAATGCTGATCGGTCTAACTGTAGAGGGTCGGGTGCGTCTGTATCTAGTGGACATACGAGAGCTCAGCTTTAATGAGATCCAGGAGCTGTGTCTTGCAATTCTCTCGATGA